CTTGCTGAGTGTCGTGTAGAGTGCACTTTCCGTGTTGAGTGCCAATGTCTCCTACAGAGTGCCTCCTGCCACAGGAATCATCCTCCAATAAGGACTGCAGTTCCTCCGTACATCCAGTGTCTACCTCCGCCTCCACTATACTGGAGCCTCCAGGGCTAAACTGGATACCCAACTCGTAGAGAACTTTCTCCAGGTAATTACCATATATATCACTGTCCCTACAAGTGTCTTCTAGGGAAGTATGAGTGTATGATGGGGAACTACACTCCATAGCCTCCACACCCTTCACAAAAGTCAATTTTTTCTGTACTGACATGTTTCTCTTGTCGGATTTTAGCCCTCAAGTTAAAATAAGTTCCTTAAAGTTCCTTAAAGTTCCCACTACACTGATTAAAGCTTTTTCTAAAATGGTTTGGTCTCGTAAGAGATGTAGTGACGGATCCACGTCCAGAGATGAAGTGAGTCTGGCTGGATGTGGATGCTGTGGTTTGGTCTCGTAAGAGATGTAGTGACGGATCCACGTCCGGAGATGAAGTGAGTCTGGCTGGATGTGGATGCTGTGGTTTGGTCTCGTAAGAGATGTAGTGACGGATCCACGTCCGGAGATGAAGTGAGTCTGGCTGGATGTGGATGCTGTGGTTTGGTCTCGTAAGGATGTAGTGACGGATCCACGTCCGGAGATGAAGTGAGTCTGGCTGGATGTGGATGCTGTGGTTTGGTCTCGTAAGAGATGTAGTGACGGATCCACGTCCAGAGATGAAGTGAGTCTGGCTGGATGTGGATGCTGTGGTTTGGTCTCGTAAGAGATGTAGTGACGGGTCCACGTCCAGAGATGAAGTGAGTCTGGCTGGATGTGGATGCTGGACGGTTGTGGCCAACACAGTTCGTTTCACGATGTTTTTTCCGACTGCAACGTGTACACTTTATGTTGAGATGAACGTATGCAGGGTTTTCTCAGAAGTGTCCTGAAGAAGTTCAATTAAACTGTTAGTGGACACTTATGCAAGACACATTGACTCAAGTATTGCACTAGAAATGAAAAGTTTCTCTAGCATTCTTATCCTAACTATAATTGGTAGTTTCTACAAGATTGGCTACCAAAAGCAGTCAACAAATACACGTTATCTCTAATTTGCTGTTATTATTCTTGACGTCAATTCGAAATTGTGGAAGGTCTCGGTCAGAGGACCAAAAGCTCCAGTTGTGGGTCATCATATGACTAAGACTCGCGTCAGGAAGCGCTTGTCCTGTTTCCTGACAACCTTACCTAACCTAACCGTCATCTCAGATGGAAGTATAACAGGCCATGATCTTACATCCACAAACTCTTACACCAGTGACACAGTACCATGTAATCTTCAATGTCAGTGCCTCATCTACTAGACCAGTCAAGACATGAGTGCCACATGGCAGTGTCCTTCACTGTCTTGTGGTCCTCATCTGTGTCAATAACCTCACCAGCGACTGCCGGGAAATTTTAGCTGGCGAAACAGCCTCTGTCATCTCAGACACACATCACAGTCTCTCCTCAGCATCATTAGTCAAGATACCCGCTCGTGTCACAATAACCTGACAACACTGACAGCACCTTCTAGATTCCAATAGATCCATTGCTGTTTTCAAGACCCCTGGCTGTCTTCAAGACCCCTGGCTGTCTTCAAGAATCTTGGCTGTCTTCAAGACCCCTGGCTGTCTTCAAGACCCCTGGCTGTCTTCAAGACCCCTGGCTGTCTTCAAGAATCTTGGCTGTCTTCAAGACCCCTGGCTATCTTCAAGAATCATGGCTGTCTTCAAGACCCTTGGCTGTCTTCAAGACCCCTGACTGTCTTCAAGACCCCTGGCTGTCTTCAAGAATCTTGGCTGTCTTCAAGACCCCTGGCTATCTTCAAGAATCATGGCTGTCTTCAAGACCCCTGGCTGTCTTCAAGACCCCTGGCTGTCTTCAAGAATCTTGGCTGTCTTCAGGACCCCTGGGTGTCTTCAAGACCCCTGGCTATCTTCAAGAATCATGGCTGTCTTCAAGACCCTTGGCTATCTTCAAGAATCTTGGCTGTCTTCAAGACCCCTGGCTATCTTCAAGAATCATGGCTGTCTTCAAGACCCTTGGCTATCTTCAAGAATCTTGGCTGTCTTCAAGACCCCTGGCTGTCTTCAAGAATCTTGGCTGTCTTCAAGACCCCTGGCTATCTTCAAGAATCATGGCTGTCTTCAAGACCCTTGGCTATCTTCAAGAATCATGGCTGTCTTCAAGACCCCTGGCTGTCTTCAAGAATCTTGGCTGTCTTCAAGACCCCTGGCTGTCTTCAAGACCCCTGGCTATCTTCAAGAATCATGGCTGTCTTCAAGACCCTTGGCTATCTTCAAGAATCTTGGCTGTCTTCAAGACCCCTGGCTGTCTTCAAGACCCCTGGCTGTCCTCAAGACTCTTGGCTGTCTTCAAGACCCCTGGCTGTCTTCAAGACTCTTGGCTGTCTTCAAGACCCCTGGCTATCTTCAAGAATCTTGGCTGTCTTCAAGACTCTTGGCTGTCTTCAAGACCCCTGGCTGTCTTCAAGACCCCTGGCTATCTTCAAGAATCTTGGCTGTCTTCAAGACCCCTGGCTATCTTCAAGAATCTTGGCTGTCTTCAAGACCCCTGGCTATCTTCAAGAATCTTGGCTGTCTTCAAGACTCTTGGCTGTCTTCAAGACCCCTGGCTGTCTTCAAGACCCCTGGCTATCTTCAAGAATCTTGGCTGTCTTCAAGACCCCTGGCTATCTTCAAGAATCTTGGCTGTCTTCAAGAATCTTGGCTGTCTTCAAGACCCCTGGCTATCTTCAAGAATCTTGGCTGTCTTCAAGACTCTTGGCTGTCTTCAAGACCCCTGGCTGTCTTCAAGAGGGAGATGGACAGACACCTGGTACTGTCAGGTACTGTCCAGCCCGGCTTGACAGTACCTGACAAGCGACACAGGATGCAAAACAACCACAGAGGGAGTTGAATGATAGCCCTAGGCCTTTCGTGTTGCAGTCAACACATCATCAGGAGTTTGCAATGTTGCATAAATGAGTACGTAATCTTAGAAAAGTCACTCCGAGGGACACCTTGCAGCTTGTGGAAAGAAGCAAAGAGTACTCACTCATTACTACAACATTGCAAGCTCCTAATGATGTAGTGATTGCAACACGAAAGGCCTAGAGCTATCATTAAACTCCCCCTGTGATTGTTTTGCATATATTTATACTGTACTGTTGTTAATGAACCGAGGTCCTGTGAGTAGTAGACTTAAGTGTTCCTGGTGAAAGCTACCGTGACCGCAGGGTACAGCGCTGGGTCCGCTTCTGCTGGATCCACGTGCAATTTCCCGTCAATTTATATTAAATAGTGACCTTTAGAGAAGGTCATTTAAGTCACTTTTCTCTGAACATTTTTAATGTCAACAAGTGGGTAGATACGTGGGTAGATATGTGGGTAGATATGTGGGTAGACACGTGGGTAGATAAGTCGGTAGGTAAATAGGTAGGATAGTTCATAAGTGGTGATTGAAAGCCACTTTAAGCCTTCAGAACTTCTGGCATACATGGCTTGACCCACACTGATACAGGAAGGATACGTGTATGGTGTATTAACAATGGAACATGATACACGAGCGATACCTGTATGATGTATTGGTCTGACATGTTAGATATGATCTATTAATATCAACCAACGTATTATACTGCGTCATTGTTACTGCGTCAGTGTGTTACTGCGTCAGTGTGTTACTGCGTCAGTGTGTTACTGCGTCAGTGTGTTACTGCGTCAGTGTTGTACTGCGTCAGTGTGTGTACTCACCTATTTGTGGTTGCAGGGGTCGAATCGGAGCTCAGTATGTTGCGTCAGTATGTTGCGTCAGTATGCTGTTGCGCCATTATTGAATGATAGAATGGTGTCAGTTTCTTTCAGTCTGACGTGAATGAAGTCCATAGAACCTAGGTAGTGTTCTGCCATATTGTGTAGTGCCAGTATGACAGTGTCTTTGTAAGGACCTGCCTTGTATGGGATAGTTAGTTTAATATGTTTATGCACACCATACCCATCCTGTGGGCGGTAGTCACCCCATACCCATCCTGTGGGCGGTAGTCACCCCATACCCATCCTGTGGGCGGTAGTCACCCCATACCCATTCTGTGGGCGGTAGTCAAAAGACTACAGATGTACATAATGGGTCCAGGGACTGTACCTCAACATTACAGGGGTACATAATGGGTCCAGGGACTGTACCTCAACATTACAGAGGTACATAATGGGTCCAGGACTGTACCTCAACATTACAGAGGTCCAATAGGGTCCAGGGACTGTACCTCAACATTACAGAGGCACATAATGGGTCCAGGGACTGTACCTCAACATTACAGAGGTACATAATGGGTCCAGGGACTGTACCTCAACATTACAGAGGTACATAATGGGTCCAGGGACTGTACCTCAACATTACAGAGGTACATAATGGGTCCAGGGACTGTACCTCAACATTACAGAGGTACATAATGGGTCCAGGGACTGTACCTCAACATTACAGAGGTACATAATGGGTCCATGGACTGTACCTCAACATTACAGAGGTACATATCGGGTCCAGGGACTGTACCTCAACATTACAGAGGTACATAATGGGTCCAGGGATTGTACCTCAACATTACAGAGGTACATAATGGGTCCAGGGACTGTACCTCAACATTACAGAGGTACATAATGGGTCCAGGGACTGTACCTCAACATTACAGAGGTACATAATGGGTCCAGGGATTGTACCTCAACATTACAGAGGTACAAAATTTGGGTCCAGGGACTGTACCTCAACATTACAGAGGTACATAATGGGTCCAGGGACTGTACCTCAACATTACAGAGGTACATAATGGGTCCAGGGACTGTACCTCAACATTACAGAGGTACATAATGGATCCAGGGACTGTACCTCAACATTACAGAGGTACATAATGGGTCCAGGAACTGTACCTCAACATTACAGAGGCACATAATGGGTCCAGGGACTGTACTTCAACATTACAGAGGTACATAATGGGTCCAGGGACTGTACCTCAACATTACAGAGGTACATAATGGGTCCAGGGACTGGCCCCAAAGTTTTGATAGCTGAACTAATTACAAAGGTAATGAACTCACAAGTTGCAAGAGTGATGAATCATATAAGTTACTTACTTACTTACGTCTATACATGACTAAAATCATGAACAAATTATAGAGTAATGAGCAATTCACACGTCCACACCCGGTCACAACTCACACCTCAACTAGGTGAGTACAACTAGGCGAGTACACACACACACACACCACACACACACACACACACCTTGTATGGGCCAGTAGTCCTCCAGCAGTGTCCTTCCATTCTTATGCCATGGTGGTGTATCTGTAAGGAGCTGCCTTATATGGGCCAGTAGGCCTCCAGTAGTGCTATTCTATATTCTTAAACATTAAAAAACAATGAAAATGGTTTTAAAACACGAGGATAAATCATGCTGGTCAGCTGGCTGAAAGGTGGCATCATGATCCCTCTACATGACCTTCCTGAGTAGCGACATGACCTGTGTCAGTGAGGTTATTTAGGTACAGGTACACGTGAGTACAGTTATCATATCAGTAAGGTTATTTAGGCACAGGTACACGTGAGTACAGTTATCATACATAGTGTAAATTATCCTCCAGGATGACCCAAAAAAGTCAAAGTGACTTATTCCCGTTGAGGTCCTGTGTTAGCCGGGTTGGTAGCGCACTCAGCTCACACATTGAGGTCCGTGGTTCGATCCCGGGTAGGGGTGGAAAAATTAGGACGTGTTTCCTTAAGATACTTGTCACTGTTCACTTAGTAGTAAGCAGGTGCCTGGGTGTTAGTCACCTTACACCTGCTATCCCTCGTCACCTACCAGTAAATAGATACCTTGGTGTTAGGTAACTAGTATGGGTAGCATCCTGGAGACAAAATTAACCAAGTTTCAGGAAATGCTCTCTACATAACCAGGAACTTTCTATATGTCATTGATGTGAGCTATGGTCTGTATAAGTTGTATCATATACTGGTAGAAATATAGATTATTATTATTAATATCCACATATAGCTGGCCTTGCCCAGGCCAGCAGTCACTGCTACTGTCTCACTATACTAACAGCAATAACCCACTGGCTTACCCACAATACACCTTTCGCTACGTATTCTACACAAGCCACAGGTCCACTGATACGTATTTCAACTCAAAATAGCAAATTCAGCCAAAAACGTTTGTGGCCAGTAATACTAAAGTACCACACAGTAATATAATGATAAAAATATTCCTACCTGACAACTAACATTCCCGTATAGCGACACCCTGGATAGATATTTAGCATAATATGTTAGGTTACGTTACAGAGCTAGGGATATAGAGCGTTTCTCGTCCTTCTCTGACCACTGGATGCTGGACACTTTGTTTGTACCAGGCAACTCACACTGTCTACGTGGCATCACAAACGAACTCTGCGCAACCTGTGTATACACTGAGTCAGTAAGATTATTCTGCCACAGGTACACATATATAGTTACATAATGATCATATATATTACCATATGTGTAGATTACTTTCTAGAATAATCTAAAAAAGTCAACGTGGCTTATTTCTATCTTGTCGGTACTGTATACCGTTCATGTATAAGAAGATAAATATACCGGGTGATAAATATACCGGATCGCGGGGGTGGCGGCCCGGTGGCCTGGTGGGTAAAGCTCCCGCTTCACACACGGAGGGCCCGGGTTCGATTCCCGGCGGGTGGAAACATTTCGACACGTTTCCTTACACCTGTTGTCCTGTTCACCTAGCAGCAAATAGGTACCTGGGTGTTAGTCGACTGGTGTGGGTGGCATCCTGGGGGACAAGATTAAGGACCACAATGGAAATAAGTTAGACAGTCCTCGATGACGCACTGACTTTCTTGGGTTATCCTGGGTGGCTAACCCTCCGGGGTTAAAAATCCGAACGAAATCTTATCTTATCTTATCTTAAAGCCCCCGCGGCCCGGGCCATAACCACGATAACCCCAAAAATCAGAGAGTGATTTATTTCCACTGTGAGCCTTGTAGACTATATTACACAAACGTCAGGAAACACTTGTCCTGTTACCTGACAAACATTACCCATCCTAACCTAACCAAGTATATCCAGATGTGTGTAAGATAAGATTTCGTTCGGATTTTTAACCCCGGAGGGTTTAAACCATACCCCCGGCCGGGATTGAACCCGCGGTCATAGAGTCTCAAAACTCCAGCCCGTCGCGTTAGCCACTAGACCAGCTAGCCACAATAAGATTCATCCAACTAGGTATATTTCTACACCATAGGAAGGTTAGCACAGGCACCTCTGTGACCACAAATGCAAGTTTTTACAGACGAATCTCCAGCTAGCGTGGCCGTGACGAACTCTAGCTCAAGTCCCCTCACTGCCGTCAACATGACTCAAGAAATCGTAATGACACGATTGCAAATAAACCATACCCCCGGCCGGGATTGAACCCGCGGTCATTGTGGCTAGCTGGTCTAGTGGCTAACGCGACGGGCTGGAGTTTTGAGACTCTATGACCGCGGGTTCAATCCCGGCCGGGGGTATGGTTTATTTGCAATCGTGTCATTACGATTTCTTGAGTCCCGGAGGGTTTGCCGCCCAGGATATCCCAAGAAAGTCAGTGCGTCATCCAGGACTGTCTTATTTCCAATGTGGTCTTCAATCTTGTCCCCCCAGGATGCCACCCACACCAGTTACCTAACACCCGGGTACCTATATTACTGCTAGGTAAACAGGGACAGCAGGTGTCTTAAGGAAACACGTCCTATTTTTTTCACCAGTACCGGGGATCGAACCCCGGACCTCAGTGTGTGAGCTGAGTGCGCTACCCACCCAGCTACGGGACAACAATATATATTTATGGATTACTGCTTGAAATGCAGCATATACTAGTGGTTTTCTTATGTCATGTAAGTTACTTAACCTGTATACTGCAGACATGAGGTTGTATGGTACACAGCAGTTGTATGGTATACAGCAGTTGTATGGTATACAGCAGTTGTATGGTATACAGCAGTTGTAGGGTATACAGCAGTTGTATGGTACACAGCAGTTGTATGGTATACAGCAGTTGTATGGTATACAGCAGTTGTATGGTACACAACAGTTGTATGGTATACAGCAGTTGTATGGTATACAGCAGTTGTATGGTATACAGCAGTTGTATGGTATACAGCAGTTGTATGGTATACAGCAGTTGTATGGTATACAGCAGCTGTGTAACCAGAGTTACTCAGACTTGAGGCCAGACATGTATAACCTGTGCTGACACAGACAACAAGCAGACTGTCAGAAGTTCTCGTCTATTCTGAACCAGTGATGAGATACAGTCATCCACAATACCCAGAATTCACAGCGTTGAGTGCCCCTCCATATGTAGCTGTGGCGCAAGGTGCCATCTTTGAGTGCCCCTCTATCTATAGCTGTAACACAAGGTGCCATCTTTAAGTGCCCTTCCATCTGTAGCTGTGACACAAGGTGCCCTCTTTGAGTGCCCCTCTATCTGTAGCTGTGACACAAGGTGCCATCTTTGAGTGCCCTTCCATCTGTAGCTGTGACACAAGGTGCCCTCTTTGAGTGCCTCTCTATCTGTAGCTGTGACACAAGGTGCCATCTTTGAGTGCCCTTCCATCTGTAGCTGTGACACAAGGGGCCATCTTTGAGTGCCCTTCCATCTATAGCTGTGACACAAGGTGCCATCTTTGAGTGCCCCTCTATCTGTAGCTGTGACACAAGGTGCCATCTTTAAGTGCCCTTCCATCTGTAGCTGTGACACAAGGTGCCATCTTTCAGTGCCCCTCTATCTGTAGCTGAGACACAAGGTGCCATCTTTGAGTGCCCTTCCATCTGTAGCTGTGACACAAGGTGCCATCTTTGAGTGCTCTTCCATCTGTAGCTGTGACACAAGGTGCCATCTTTGAGTGCCATTCCATCTGTAGCTGTGACACAAGGTGCCATCTTTGAGTGCCCTTCCACCTATAGCTGTGACACAAGGTGCCATCTTTGAGTGCCCCTCTATCTGTAGCTGTGACACAAGGTGCCATCTTTAAGTGCCCTTCCATCTGTAGCTGTGACACAAGGTGCCATCTTTCAGTGCCCCTCTATCTGTAGCTGTGACACAAGGGGCCATCTTTGAGTGCCCTTCCATCTGTAGCTGTGACACAAGGTGCCATCTTTGAGTGACCCTCTATCTGTAGATGTGACACTCTCAGTAGTAGTAACCAGTTACCAGTCTCAGTAGTAGTAACCAGTTACCAGTCTCAGTAGTAGTAACAAGTTACCAGTAACCGTCCGTTGACTCAACGACCAACCGTCTCTGCCTGAGTCACGGTCTTTGCGCTGAACTGACACTATTTCAAAAGACCCCACTGGGTACTGTGGGCAGCCGGCTAGTCAGTATTACGAGTGTAACCAAGGAGATAGGTACGGCTGGCAAGGGCTCCCTCCACATAACAGCAATTATACGTAATAACAGCCTACGTGAGTATTTCTTACCTAATCCACGTATCGAACTCCCACATGATAAATGGTGTACAGCGGTGTGGAGCGTGGATTTACGTTTTTAAGGGTAATTCAAGGCGTTTGAAGACTGTTGTGAGTAGCCGGCAGGGTCAAAGGTGAATCTCCAGCCAGCCGCCTCCCCTCACACCCTCCAGCCACCAGCTACTACCCTCACTCACTACCTACTGCCTGCAAGCCTGTTGCAGCCGTTTCAAGCTTCCTGGCTTAGTGTGTGCTAATTGCTTCAATCTCCGAGGGGTTGACCCGGATTTTGCAATTAAGCCAGTCAGTAAGCCAGACTGTGGAAGTGAACGCCAGTCAGCCTATCATCCAGCCTGTCTCCTGTCATCCAACTGCTCCTCCGTGCTTTGTGCATCGTTACCCGTCTTCCAGTCAGCCATTCTCGTGGGGTAAGCCAGTCAGCCAACCCAGCTTCTAACCCAGCTGAGAGAGAGAAGTAAGCCACGCAGTAAGAAGTAAGCCAAGTTCCTCTGAGGTTTTGTCTATATCGCTTTGTGCTCCCTGTTGGATGCTAAGAGTGGTTTTCACCATTCCTGTGGCATAGAGTGGGTTATCAAGCCACCTTCGTGGGTAGAGGGGGGTGCGCGGCAGTACCCCAGCGAGAGTCACACCCACCACTCTCTCCCACCACCACTCTCCACCACCATCAGCCATCCACCCATCTACCTGTGGTTGTTTGCACCCTTGTACCGGGTCCTAGTACTGTTTTGGCTCACATAATTGGTCAAGAGATTGTAGCTGGCGCCAACGACAACCCAATTATGTGAGTTCCCCGTGAATGCGCATTTCTTCCGACAACAGTGAATGTAGGAGGCGTCAGTATCACCGCGCGGGACCCACTATCTGTAGCTGTGACACAAGGTGCCCTCTTTGAGTGCCCTTCCAGCTGTAGCTGAGACACAAGGTGTTATCTTTGAGTGCCCCTCTATCTGTAGCTGTGGCACAAGGTGCCATCTTTAAGTGCCCTTCCATCTGTAGCTGTGACACAAGGTGCCATCTTTGAGTGCCCTTCTATCTGTAGTTGTGACACAAGGTGCCATCTTTGAGTGCTCTTCCATCTGTATCTGTGACACAAGGTGCCACCTTTGAGTGCCCCTCTATCTGTAGCTGTGACACAAGGTGCCATCTTTCAGTGCCCTTCCATCTGTAGCTGTGACACAAGGTGCCATCTTTGAGTGCCCCTCTATCTGTAGCTGTGACACAAGGTGTCATCTTTGAGTGCCTCTCTATCTGTAGCTGTGACACAAGGTGCCATCTTTAAGTGCCCTTCCATCTGTAGCTGTGACACAAGGTGCCATCTTTGAGTGACCCTCTATCTGTAGCTGTGGCACAAGGTGCCATCTTTGAGTGCCCCTCTATCTGTAGCTGTGACACAAGGTGCCATCTTTGAGTGCCCCTCTATCTGTAGCTGTGGCACAAGGTGCCATCTTTGAGTGCCCCTCTATCTGTAGCTGTGACACAAGGTGTCATCTTTGAGTGCCCCTCTATCTGTAGCTGTGACACAAGGTGCCATCTTTCAGTGCCCTTCCATCTGTAGCTGTGACACAAGGTGCCATCTTTGAGTGCCCTTCCATCTGTAGCTGTGACACAAGGTGCCATCGCTGAGTGCCCCTCCATCTGTAGCTGTGGCACAAGGTGCCATCTTTAAGTGCCCTTCCATCTGTAGCTGAGACACAAGGTGCCATCTTTGAGTGCCCTTCCATCT